TATGGTGGTGCACACCCTGCAGTTTCAGCTACTGAGGAGCGCTGAGACAGGGAGATCACTTGATCCTGGGAGGTCAAGGCTGCAGTGAGCCATGATGGTGCCACTGCACTCCAGCCTGGGTGATAGGGAGACCTTGTCTCAAAAAAAAAAAAAAAAAAAAAAAAAAAAAGACAGTTCTTGTCTTATATTAACCTCAGAATCCATTTTATTTTATTTCTGGTTAGCAGGCAGCTAAGAAAATTTTGATTTATACAGATAAGCGCTTGCAAAGAGTAACTTTTAAAATAAATAGGTCAACTTGGGGGACCCAGGAAATGATCTAGTTCACCTGAGATGGCAAGAGAAGCTTTAGCCTAAAATTTGCAAAAAATGAGTAGATGTGGCAGCACACATTTGAATTGGGGCTATCTCCAGCAAATGAACTTTTACACAAAACAAATCTATGCCAGTGTAGCTAAAAACAACTTTTTAATAGTAAAAAAACAAATATTTCTTCTATAAAATGTGAACGAAATGGCTGTAGTTTATCCAAGTCACAGCAGATTGAAGGGGTGTGTGTTGGGTCGGGGTGGGGATGGGGGTTTCTGCAGGTCTGCACATTGCAGAAGCCCCATCTCCACCCCCACGCAACGCACACCCCTTCTCAAGAGAGAGGATCATGCTGCCAGGTCAAAGGGGTGGTAGCAATGGCTATCCTCTGGGTAGTTTCACAGTTTTTGCTTGATGATGGCCATTTAAGCAGTGTTAGCCATCTCTCTGTAGCCCCCTTGAACACTGCAAGAAACATGAGGAACTTCTATCTCTGAAGTTGGCTCTCAAGTAGAACTTGGTACCCTCACTGAAGCCTCTGTCTTAATCACATGCTTGTTGAATCTTTCAATGCAATTATTTTTAATGAATCCGTCCTTACTAATGTAGATCCCATATAATATGGTTCAACAGAGAATGAACCCAAAAGAAAACCCAAATTCCTTGCCTTGCTCTCCAAAGCCGGGCTTTTCTGTCTTACTATTCTGTCTCTTCACATACCTTACCCCGTCTTGCATGACTCCAAGCTTTCTCTCTTACCACCTGGCCTTTGCTCTCGCTGTTCCTCCTTCTTGCAGTGCTCTTTCCCTGGCTATTTTCATCATTAACTTCTCATGTTAAATGGTTCCTTCTTGAAAGGTCATCCCACTATTGCCTCATCTGTCCCACCAGGCTCTCTCTCCCACAGTGTTTTTGTTGTTGTTGTTCCTGGCATATCTCAGAGTCTTTCTTGATCTTGCCTGTTGATTTCTCTATTTGGATATTATGGGTCTCCCTTCATTAAAATTAAAGCTTTGTGATGGCAGCAACTTTGTCTTGCTTACCTCTGCATTCCCAATGCCTAGCACATAGTTAGTGTTTAGTAAGTATCTGCTGAATAAGTGAATGAATGAATGAATGAATGAATGAATGAATGAATGGAAGTACCTGTGATCTGACATAGTATGGAGAACACAAAAGATTGTGCCAAGAACCAATAATTGAGAACACAGGGTATATACAGCCATCCATGAGAGAAAGCTTCAAGGCCAAGAGACAGAGACAGAAGCCATTTGGGGAACCACAAATAATTAGAAGCAGGATTTTTTTCAGAGAATAATGGAAGAATGAGCCCATGAGCCCCTCTGTATGAATACAGGATCAATCTAGAGGCAGCTTGTACCAGGGAAGTCTTACAGTCATTAAACTAAAGTTAGGAAAAAGATTCAAATATTTGGAGAAATATTCTTTAAACTAGGCAGGCCTTTGGTCTATGGGCCTACACATGAGTCCATGGGAACCAGGCAAAAGTCTTTGGGAAACAGTCTAGATAGAATCCAGAACTGAGTTAAACCAGAGCTCTTTTGTTTTGATCCCTCCTAAGAGACAAAGGTCAACAACTGGTGCTAAGGATGAGGGTAAGCTGACATAGGTTGGAGTAAGAGGGTGGCCCCATGCAGGGAGTCACTGGGAAACAGTCAGAGACCAAAGAAGAGGAGCAGACATGTGTCATCATGATGACGTTGAAAAGTGCACTGGGGAGGAGGAAATGCTGTCTCCAAAACACACGTGTGTAATGGGCTCTGGCCCTGCAACAAAGCACTCTCCAGACCCCACCCAGGCCACACATTTCCACTCTCCCACCTTTGCATTGGCTCTTCCTTCTTCCTTGGAATACCTTCTCCATGTTTCATCTGGCAAACTCTAGCTCACTCTTCACAAGCCAGCTCACATGGCAATGCTGTTGTGAGCCCACACAGCGCCCCGTGGTATCCATGTCTGGGTCTCTGACCTGGCATAGCTGTGGGATCTATTCTGTCGCTGAATCAACTATGGCATTTGTGCCATAAATGAATCTGCATGGGTGAGGGCAGTGGGAGGATCTTGCCCAGGCCTTTTCTCCCCAAGCTCACTCCCAGGGTGGACAGGCTGGCATGGGGAGAAGCAGCAGTGGTCAGAGCCACACTGAGCTCATGTCTTAGTCATCGCCCTCCATGGTCAGAATGGGACGATCCCCACTGTCTGATGTGGAGGCCCAGGCCAGGTGCCCGACATGTGACAAACTGTTCTTTTTCAGACTGAGCTCACACCACCCATTAGCTGGTCTGTGGGAGCTGCCAATGTTTGTGGAGTCTGGAGCTCCTCCTACCTGCATCTGGAGTTCAGGGTTCACTGTCACTTTGACACAAAAACAATGCCCTCCAGTTCTTATTGCCAGAGGCAACTGTCTACCCTGCAGCTTCTGTCGGCCAGCCAGTCATTCAGTCAACACTAACGTGGAACAGGGAGGGCACAGGGCTAGACTTTGTAGGGCTGGACAGAGAAGACACCAGGCAGGAAACCTGACTCTGGGAGGCTCCAGCTCTGCAGACTCCCATCTGGGACAGTTGGTGACTGACCTAATGGTCGGCAAAAGGCTCAGGCAGTCAACAGAGCTTTTCAGAGGTGAGGCAGAGGAAACACACTTTAGATTCGACAAATGAAAAAACCGAGGGAGGGAACGTTATGAGTTGAAATATTACATAAATTACCAGAAGTCAAGGTTCCTGCTTCCCTCAGAGGCATGCTCTCTGACATATATAACTATATGGTGGTCCCATTAAAACTGTATTTGTGTGATATGTATGCCACAGATGTATTCGTGAGATTTCAGGCAGGTGAGGATCACAGCTAATGGGAAGTCCTCACGTTTCATAGTCTGGCAGGTCTGGGTCTAAATCCTGCTTCTTTGGCACCATTCATTCTGTGTGACCCCAAGGCAAATCATGCCATCTCTCCACATGCACTCTATCACCGTAAAATGAGTTTGTTATTAGTTTTTAGGACGAGCAAATCAAATAATATGCGTCTTGTGGCTGGCACCATATCTCGCCCCTTGTAGACATTGAGAATAGTGTTTCTGAAATATATCCTATTGAAATTCCAAGGCTTATTGTCCCAAGCAAGGGTAAAGTTAATTCCACCTAGGCTAAAGAAGGTCATAAAGTAGAAATGCATAAATAAATCAGTAGAAATATTCCATCAAGTGGGAAAAGAGGGTGATTGGACATTAAGGGATGCTCCTTCCAGCTAGAAGGGAAGAAGAAGAGGGAGGCAGGAACAGAGGAGAGGACAGGACACTGGTCAGCCCTGAGGAGGTCCCCATATCTCTTCATTCACCAGCCCTCAAGTGAACCTCAAGAGGAGTCAGGGCGAGGTAGGGAGTAGAGAGAGACTCTACAAGTTTAGGAAATGTCCACAGTGCTGATGTCAGGTCCTTCTTTCCTTGGGTACAATCAGAAAGACTAAAAGACTTTTGTGGAAGGCGGGTTAGGATTCAGGACAGCCAGCAGGGTGAGGGAGCAGGTAGAAATGCACAGACCTAGGGAGGGCACAGAAGCCACGTCCTTAGCCTCACGTGATAGAGGCGGGTGGGGAGAATGTGGCTGAAGGTCTCCCAGCATCCAGGGGCCCCCAGTGATGCTGCAAAGACCCGAAGACCAGAAGGGGCAGAAGGTCGAGGACAAGAGGCTTGCAAATCCAGGGATCTCTGGACAGAAGTGGAGGCTTCTAGATCTAGGCTCCCCATCCATAGACTCCCACAGGAGCCCTCACAGACACCTGTGCAGGATGGCCAGCCCCAGGAGAGAGGAGGACTGTCTCAGGTAAGGCCAGCAAGCACCTGGGACACCCTTGAGGACTTCTCCCTGCTATCATGGTGCCACACAGGCTTCCCTTTAGACGCAGGCACCATCAGAAGAAGAGAAAGAAAAGAAGGGCAACAGAAATCCGCAAAGGCTACCTCAGCTTCCCCAAATAAACTATGCTAACCTGCAAGAGGCCATTAGAAATCAGAGACAGAATTTCATTAAATTGGAAAATTTAAGTGTTCTCTCCCTTCCTCATCTGCCCTTCTGCTACTGAGAAATTAGGCTTTGAGAGAAAAATCAAAGCACATTTTAGTGCCTTGCAAATCTGAGTACTAATGAGTAAATTTCAATGCCCCACTACTTGCTCAATTATTAGTATTGTTGCTATTATTCTATATAATAATGATAATTATGACAATATTTGACCATTTTAACCCATAAAAATGGCAGTTTCCAAAGGTTCAAGTGAATAATATTAATTGCTACCTTTATGCAACCAAGGTGTAGACAAAAGGGGACTCCCTTCCCTCTAACCCAAGAGAAACCATGTCCAAAGGTTGGGGTGGGGCCCCCAATAGGTCTGGGAGGCTAGGAGGTCAATGCTTTGGTGCGTCTCTGCCGAGAACTCTTTTCTACTTGCATGCATCTCCCCTTTTCCATCATTTCTTCACCTGAATCACCATATTCAAAAATAGGGAAATCAAGCAGTGTGCTTATAAGCTTGGAGTCATTTCTGACAAATGAAAAGAAGGGCTTCTTCATACAGAAAAGCCTTACTTAATAACTGTGGTACTTTTTACTGTAAGAAGTAGCTCAGGCTGGATACCATTTGAAAACACAAAGTGAGTCACTGACAGCCGCATCCGCTGAGGCCAGTATCTCACGGTTTCCAATTTTATTTCCTACAGATTTGAAGTGTGTGAAATAAAGAAGACAATATACATATTGGCCCTTATTAGAACATATTGCTGATCTAGAACGGAACAATGAGATGAGTCTAGGCTATTTCTGAACTCCCCATCTCCCTGTCAACTGGGAACAAGCTGGCCCATGACGCCCTAGCTCTCCAGCAGTAATGACACGGTCTTATGGTTAGAACAGGATTCAGCAATCCTGAAACCACATCTCTGCACAACCCCCAGCATGAGAATTCCCCCTACAGACTTCTCTTGAGCAAGCACACAGTCTCAGCTGAAGCACCTCAGGCCACAAGGAGCCCACTTCTTCTCTTTCCATTGTTTAAGAATGTTATTCCTTATGTCAAATCACAATGTGACAACATGCACAGATAGATAGGATGGGTTTTGGAGCTGGAGAGATACAGAATCTAATCCTGGCTCTCCCTGTTGCTGGCTGTGTGACCATGGGCAAAGGCATAACCTCTTTGTGTCTCAGTTTATTGTTTCCTAATGGGTAAAAGGGGGATCCAGTCATTAATTACTTTGGAGAGCTATGGTGAGGATTGGTTAAAGAACTGCTTATACAGTATAGCCAGTTCCTGGATATAGTATCCACTCAATTAATGCCATACATTAATATATAATTACAGTTATTGGTGGAGTTCTGCCTTCCAGGGTCACAAAGAAGAAGGCCAACACTCTCTTCCACTTTATATATTTAAAGACAGCAGTTATGGGTCTTCTAGCTGCACCAAGAAAGGTTCAAATTCTGTTCTTGTACCTTCTGTAACAACAACAATTACAGAAGCATCCCTCCAAGCCCAGATGACCTACTTTTGTCTTGAGTGGGACAGTTCTGAGGTCCAATTCTCCTGTGACTTGGAGGACATTTTTTGGCAGCTCCCTGCCTCTTCAAAGCCCATTCTATCCTTGCTTCTCTCTCATCTCTGACAGTTCCCTGACCCTCATCCAGTGCATGCCTGGCCTATCATTAGCTAGAATTAGATACCTTTGGTTTTATGGTGTGGATAGCCATCCATAGGCATACAGGTATCAAAGGGCAGTGGAGTGTGGCAGGTGCACAGGGATTGACTTCGGTGAGTAACCAGGGGAAACCTAGAAATGCCTATCACTGGGCTAGTTGGAATCATCATCACAAAGTCCATCAAAATGTCTCACCTGGTGATGTTTCTAGACCACATGTAGATCTAGTTTCCTCGTGAATGAAATTGGACAAGCGCCTGAGCTAACCTTGTCCCTTATCTTTGAAGATGGGTTTAACGCAGGCTTTATAGCCAAGCTAGGTCAGTGGCCCATGTCCAGGGAAGCTTGGCCAGTTCTTGAAAAGGCCCAGGGCTCTGTGAAAAGACCACAGCCTCTGCTTCTGAAACTGGGACCACACAGTGTTGCCTGGGGGTCCCCAGTACGGTGCTGACCATGTAGCCACAGACGACTTGAAGCTACTCCCTGATGAAACCCCGGGCTTTGCCTGTTCAGAGTGCGATGAATGAGGAGCGGCTTCGCAGGAGCAGGAGGAGCTGTCAGGAGTCAGAGCACGCCATCATCATCACACACCTCCCTGGCTTCAACAATGCTATTAAAACTCACACATTTCCCCTGTCTGTGTGTATGCGTTGCAATGTAAGTCAAGCAGCAAGATTTTATCTCTGTCTCAAGACAATTTATTAACGAGCACAGTGCTGGAACCCTGGCATGATACTTTGAAATGCCAGCTGTGGCTGTGGGCCAATTTAACCACAGTCTGGAAGATCGATTTAAAGAAGTCCATCTATGACTTATATAGGTAAGTTTATATTGTTCTCCTTCTGCATCATAGCCCTTAGGACAAAGTACACATGAAGAGAGCTGGTGAACGACAGACTGCTACAAACTACTTGCCCAGTAGTTCAGGGAGGAGACCAGAACTCAAAGACAAATCCCAGGGAATGATTTCTAGTTAGTCATCCTTTGCTGACTGACTTTAGAAATTATGGGAGGGGTGGAAGAGGAAATCTGAGGGTATTATAAGATGTGGTCCCTGCCTGACTTCATCTTGCCTCCCCTTGCCTACTCTCATGTACCCAAAACACTGGCCTTCTGCCTGTGTCTTCAGCTCCCCAGCTCTTGCCTACCTCAGGACCTTTGCACTTGCCAGTTCCTGCTGGAATGTTCTTTCCTCACCTCGACTTAACTGTTACCTCCTCAGAAATACTTACCTTGACTACATTACATAAAGTAAACTTTATGCCCTAGTTTCTCTCTCTCACTCACTCTCTCTCTCTCTCATCCTTTTGTTTCATTCCTTCACAGCACTCCTCTCATTTGAAATTAGGTTGTTTATTTATTTGTTTATTATCTGTCTCTCCTGACTAGAATGTAAATGCTGTAAAAGAAGAAATCCGGTTTTACACCCCAGTGCCTTATACATAGAAAGCACTCAGTAAACACTGAATGAATGAATGATATTAGCATAATCTTTTAAGATTCTTAATGAGAGGAGAAAAAACTTTTCTTGATTTCCAAGTAGGGAGAGATGAGGAAATAAAGCAGAAAATGGAAGAATTGTTCACCACCAATTAGCTTGAGATTGAAACAACCAGAAAAGCAAAAATCTGAATGCGTCTTTATAAAATGCGAACAAAGGCAGTTTGCAAATAGGCATGGGATGATGTCCTTATGAAGCAGATGGATTATAAAGTACCGAAGATGGCTACCTTCTACCCCTCAAGACCTGTGCCCAGCTCCTGCATATAAGGACAACATGACTTTTCAGCCCTTCCTAAGAATCCTTCAGCCAGAAACACTTCAAATGAGAGTACAAGAGTCTCGCTGACATCAAGTGCCAGCAAGTCCTTGTCATGTACAGCATCTGGGCAGAAGTAAGAACATCTGTTCCCAGCATGAACCTTATTAGCTTCATCATTTGGCTTTCAACCTAAAAAATGTACAATTATGATACATAGTCTTCATGGGTGGCAAGGTAACAACTCATGCTCTGCAGCCGGTGAGCTCAGGAGCAGGAGTGGCTATGGGGGTAGCAGCCATTCAGCGGGGGCAAGACACACGTGGCAGCAACAGCTCCATTACCTGGAAGCAACCTTGCAGCAACCCCAGGTTCTAGAGACAGAGGACAACTGGGGACTGGAAAGAAGAGAGAGTGAGACAAAGGAGGGAGAACAGAAGAGGAAGAGGGAGGAGAGAAGGAGAGAAAGTGAATGAGAGGCATGAGAGTGAAGCCATAAAGACCCCACCAAGACATGAAAGTGAGGGTGAGGGAGCCGGGCAGAGAGACAGAGAAAATAGCTCTGCCTGGTAAATGGCAGAGCAGGATGTCCCGCGCTTTGTGCGTGGGACACACACTAAAGCAGGGCTGCCTGGGCCTGCACCTCATCCCCACCACTTCCCCGATGTGTGCACTCAGGCAAGCTGCCTCACTGCTTTGTGCTTTAGTTCTCTCATCTCCTGAGAGGGGAAAATCACAGCACCTCGGAGGGTTGATGTGAGGGGTAAGTGTGTCATTCTGCATAAGGCACTTGAGCACTACTTGACATGGAGCAAGCTGCCATCATTGCATCATCATCATCACTACCATCATTGCTGCTACTACTATCATCATTACTTGTAAGACTGATTTAAATATTCCTTGTATACTTGTATATACTCATATAGCGTGATGAGCTAGGTACCGGTATTATTCCCCCACCGGGCAGCAAGCGTGTGGAAGTGAAAAGTTGGGCCTTAGCGATCTGCCTCTGGAACCTGTGCTCCTTACCATCTCCCAGGCAGGACTCAACAGCCTCCCTAAGAATGACCCTTGAGCTTGTCATTGCCATAATAAAAACAACAGAAGCAGCGCAGACTAAAGCTTATGTCTGGGTTTGTTACGTGGAAGGCCAAGAGCAATCGCCTTCCCTGGGCCTCCTTATTACAGGTAGCACTCCCTACATCTAAGGAAGCAGGATTGAAAGTAAGGAGACGTAGGTTTGAATCCTAGCTCCACACTCAAGAGCAGTGGGCATGCCTGCTGAGGTAAATGGCTGCCTCCTGAGCCTGCTGCTCTCTGCTGGAACCAGAATGAGACACCCCTAGGTCTGCGGTGAGGATCCAGCAGGGCCGTGGAAGTAGAGCTCTTCCAGTGGCTGGCACTCAGCATATCATAGCCCTAGCATCAGTACAAGACAGCGCATTCCCTGTGAAAGCTGAGAAATGCTGGGAAGAGGAGACAGAAAAATAAAAGAGGGAGGATGGAGGGAAGCTTCAGCAGATGGCAGACAAGGAAGTGGCATCAGAGCGAGTGAAGAGGTGGGGATGGAGGCTGTGGGAATGGAGGTCGCAGTGGAGTGAGGTGGGCTCTAGAGAAACAGGGAAGAGCTGGCCTCCTGCTCACCTCAGCACCCCAGTTCTCTCCCAATTACACTATGGATGTTCCTGATAGCAAAATGAAGTTCCAACAAAAGGCTGAACGATGTGCAAAACTCTCTGTATAAGAGGTCAGGGGTTTATACCTCTTAAGAGGGCTTCTTACAAAATTGTTAAAATGTTATAGAAGGTACGTAAAGTGGGGTATGTTACTACCATCCAAAACAAAGTAGATCATGCAGAAAGGTTCATAGTCAATGGATTCTAATAAAACTGAGGAGCTGCTGTTTGTATTTATGTATGGTCCTTCAACCTGGAAGATGCCTTCCTGGTGTTTTAGTCACCTGGGTGCTGGCACATATGAACAACTGTTTAATCCTGGGCAAGTTGCCTAACCTCTCTGAGCCTCAAGTTTTTTCCATCTGTGAAAGAAGTCTGAGAATAGAGCCTACCTCATAGGTGGATGTAAACATTAAAGAAGAGAACGCGTGGGAAGAGGTCACGTGATGCCTAGCATGTAGCGAGAACGCACCAGCGCGAGCTGGTAGGATTACTGCTGTTCGCATTATCATGCGGCAATGGGACAAGATGAAGTGCTGCGATGTGGCTTCAGAGTCGACACTTGACTCTGGAGGTCGACACTCGACACTTGACTAATTTCTGGAAATTAGTCAAGGAAAACAGTCAATAATATCAACGCCTCCCTCTGCCTCTTGTGCCATCTGCACCAATCACAAGTCCTCTCAGCTCCACTTTATGAGAATGTCTGTCTTCCACCCTGTTTCCTCCCTTCTCACTCGCTGACCTCATTTGGTTTTCATCTGCCATGGGGTCCACCTCAACCAACTGCAAAGGCCGCTGCAGACATTCCTGCCTCCACTCCATTTAATCCATTCTTCTTACAGAAGCTGTGTAGCCCTTTTTGAAGTCTCAGTTTGTATTAAAATTTGATTCATCCACTTTTTACAATTCTACCCCATAGTATAACCCCGTTTGTTTTACTTTTTAAAAATCATATTTAAGTTACTTACCATTTGGTTAAATGGACACTCCCAAAACTTCCCAAAGCTTCTCCAGCCAGCTTTGTAGCTAGTGCGTGTTAGGGGCTCAGCAAATGTTTGTGGACTTGTACCACAAATGTGAAGACATTTCCTAAGTAGAAATTCATAGGCAAACATGATAATAGCTGGGAAGTGAGGAGGGTGAGGTGATGCCTGTATTATTTCTTAATTTCCCAAGTATAGGGACAAGTATTTTCTAAGAGTCTTACAATTTAATACATATTTTTAAGATAAAATATATGTGGGAGGATTACCTAGGCACACACGTAGCAGAGCATCCTTTGCTTGCTACCTATGTCTGCTGTTTGCAAACACCACTGCTGTTTCGGAGCAATGTTTCTTCACTAGGAAAGAACAGGTCCCCTAGACTCTAACAGATCACATGCCGCCCAAAGATACAACATTAAAGAACAATGATCACTGAAGTCAGGAGAAAACGCAATCCTGCCCTTCCCAGGATCAAGCAACAGTCACACCCTACTCCTGCCATCTTGAGTCAGAGGGAATAAATGCAGGACGAGCTGGGGACTCTGGTGTTGCCTGTCTACTTCCCTGCGTCTCGGGATTTTTGCTCTTCTTAGGATTCTCGTCGGTAACACAAAAGGAAGAGTCCACCACTACCTGCTCAAAGCAGTGGACTGGCTCAGTCATGATTTGCTAGCAGTTTCAAAACACAAAATGATATTGCTGAGACTGACTGCCAAGAAGCAGGGTTTATCCTGTACCTCTTCTCCCCCATGGGTGAGAAAAGAGAGCATCAGGTTTGTGGGATCCAGTGTTGCAAGCAGTGATTTATTTGCTCTTAGCAACCGTGGCTGAAGCTTAGTGACATCTGTAAGCTGAACATTCTCATCAAGCGTGCATTTTATTCAACTGTTTGCCCTCAGGGTGCTGCAGGCTTAGTTGACATCCTGCTTGAAGCTGACAACTCACACTCCACCCTCCAGTGACAAGAGGCCTGGGCTCCAGCTACGCACAGGCACACATGGCACTCCTATTCTGCATCTAGTTTTTGTGGCTCCTCATCACCAGGTAACAGCATCTCACAAACCTCTTAGTCATCACTCCCCTTCTCAGAGTGTCACTGCCTCAAGGAAGATGCTTTTCCTTTTCTTGAAAGCACCATTTTCTGCTTTTTTCAGTTTCATTTCCTGTTTGCAGTTTAAGAGCCAACAAGGCAGATGGATCAGGGAATCAGCATGACTGAGAGGGAAAAACCATCCAAACGCTCCCTGCATAGTGCCCGTCACAGGCCAGGCCTCCTGCAGATGATCCTAGGAGATAGGCGAACGCTAGCCATGCCCACTTCTGCTGTGCAGCACACAACTCCGAAACAGAGACGCATGACAACGTCCTCGGTTCTGGCAGACTCTTTCAGGATCCAGGGCCGTAGGACTGTTGCTCAGGTCTCAATAACACACAAAAATCAAAAACAAGCAATCCAACAAAAAAGATGAGTACGAGGAAAGGCACTAACGTCGGATAACTGTAGATTTATATCCTAGTTCTTGCATCAACTAGCTGAGGGGCCCTGGGCAAGTTATTTGACCTCTTGGCACTTCAGTTTTCTTGTCTGAAAAAGAGAAGGTATAATTGTACAAAGCTCATAGAATTTATGGTGAGGATTACATGAGATAATTCATGAGAGTTCATGTAATTCATAGCATAATACCTGATACCTAGTAAGTGCTTAATAAATATTATGTGTCAGGGAGAGGAACATCACACACTGGGGCTTGTCAGGGGGTGGGGGGAAAGGGGAGGGAGAGCATTAGGACAAATATCTAATGCATGCGGGGCTTAAAACCTAGATGATGGGTTAATAGGTGCAGCAAACCACCATGGCACATGTATACCTACGTAACAACCCTGCATATTCTGCACATGTATCCCAGAACTTAAACTAAAATTTAAAAAAAAGAAAATACCAAAAAAATTATTTGTCATTAGTCTTAGTACCTTGTTTCAAAATTATCAGCCAAGAAATGCACACAGATGGGACATATTTCAGATTATTTCCATTGTCACTCAACTTTCGGCATATATAATCACTTACACGGAAAAGGCCCTTATCCCTTCCCTGTTTTTCCTCCCCCACTCCCTGCCCAATGTGCCTGCTCTCACCTCTGACTCCTGTGCTCATTCCAGGACCATGGGCAGTCTTGACCTTCATTCTTCCCTAGACAGTACCTTAAGGGCAGGGACCATAGCTTTCCTAGCTTAATATTCTTTTTAGTGTCTGGGTCTTCAACTAGGAGGACCTTCCCACTCTTTTCTGAGTAGAATGCTTGTCTTAACTCTGGCAACTTAAAAAATGAACTATTGATTTCATGAGCTGAGATCTTTGAAGATTTTCAAAGTCTCAGAACCACTTCCCAGTCAGAGAAGTTCAAAGAATGAATTCATCGACTGGCTTATTCTTCTCAGACATCATTTCCACTTCAGTCAGGAGAGGCCGGGGAAAGGTTGCTCGCTGGGGAGCTTTCACCTCTTCACAGACTGTCTGATATCAGAGGAAGGGAACTTCCCCATAGTGTTCCCACGTCAGAACACTTGAACACCATGAACATAAAACTCTCCCTCCCAGTGGGCCCTGAGTGGACCCAATTCTTGCTCCTACAGCGAGGGACTCTGTGGTATGGAGCAGTGAGCTGGGCTGTGCCACAGGACCCTGTGTGGGGAAGCCTGGTGCCACACCTGGAAACTGTTTTCTTTCTGTGTTGAGATGTATGGCATCCTGTTAAGACTGAATCAAAGCTTATGACAGCTACTCCAGGGAGGTCTCACTCCCTATGCTTCATGACTCCTTCCAGATTCTCTTCTTTCCTTATGTATTGCAACAAATTATAATTTATCCTCAGGTTTTAAAGGTGGATCTGGTGCTACCTAAATATCAAGTAATGTCATTAATGTCAATTAATGATGATGCAGAGTCCTAACACCAGCACAAGAAAGCCAGTGAACAAGTCAGAGTTAAGAAAACTCCCCACAGTACGTTAATTAAGAAAGCCAGGCTATGTAAAATGTTATTTTGAAAGAAGCCATTTTCCGCAGTGACATAGGAACCACGTAATAAGGCATCTCTGCCAAACCAGTCGGAAAATAGGGAAGTCAGACAGCCATGGGTCAGAACCCATAGATACAGGAATGGAAAACTCCAGAGAGCCCTCCTCTAAGATGTAAAGCCACCAATTGACAGGTAGCCTGTTGTATACAGGAAAGCTGTCAATCATCTTTACTAAATAGGGAGGATACAACTTCCCTCTCCTCCAGGCCATAGAAAACTCGAATTCTTTACAAGCATTCTTGAGATTCACATACTAAATGTTCAATGACACTATCAAAATGGATGCCTGGAGATCTTACAAACAAACTAGAAGCTAGCCTCATGGCTGCTCAGATGTGAGGGCCTTTAGGCAAAGCTGGGAACTGAAGATTTGAGCAGGTGTGGGTCAGACCCCGGTGCTCAAAATAAATATTCTGCCCCAGAAGCTCTGGACTGGAAGGGAGGGACCCAAGTTCTCTGAAAGGGCAACACTGCCACAGCCAAATAGCTCAAGCAGTTTGCTGTCAATTATCCACCCCCTGTGTAATTTCAGGAAAATTTATTCTGTAAATTACAGATCTTTTTGACACTTAACTCAGCAAAAAACAGCTGTCCAACAGTGATTTTATGTCCAAGTAAACCTGTCATCTTTATTCTTGGCCTTTTCCTTCCCTCTTACAGAAAATAAAAAGGATCCAGATATTTTCCAAGAGAAAATAAACTCCTAAAGCTGAAAGATTTGAGTTTTCGAGTTTGGCTAAAATGCTGAGTCCAAAAAGGGGGTTCTCAAGTTGGCACAGTGCTTCCCTCCCACATCCCTACTTAATCACCACCAACTCCAGAGGCTGTGACTCAGAGAATGTGTGAGCCCAAGCCTCGTCTCATAAACACAGCGTTTCCAGGCCCCACATTCTCCATTCTTTGCTAGCGCAGTGCAACTCGGGGTCGGGGCAAATAAGGTAAGAAGACCATTTGAGTTCAACTCCTGAAGCTGTTCTTTTCTCTGCTAAAGTTTAGGTAGAAGCCAAAAGAGTTGTTTTCTCTATTGTCTAAAACTAAACTGCTGACAACTAAGAAGTATGAGCACTTGGCAGAATTTCAAGCTCCAACAATAAGCAAACTGCACGAGGAGATTGTTTTGTGTTGCTTTTCTGTGGCTCTCTTTTTTCTACCGTGGGATGTTCCAGAAACTGTGGGCACTCTGTTCATGCCCACTGCCAGCAGCTCATGGAGGACATCCAGGAATAGGTGTCCTCCCTCCCCTAGGATGGGCCCACTGCTGACGCACCTGCTCCAGAAACTGTGATTGGAATACATTATCGGGACTAATGAGAGTCAAGAATGACTGAAAAGTCTAATAGGAGTGGAGAGACACGAGACAGAGTTGAGAATTTGCCATCTCCCCTCTCTCTTATTTATTTATTTAGTTATTTATTTATTTATTTATTTATTTATCTTTATTTATTTGTTTGTTTTGAGATGGAGTCTCACTCAGTCACCCAGGCTGGAGTGCAGTGGCGCGATCTCAGCTCACCACAACCTCCGCCTCCTGGGTTCAAGCGATTCTCCTGCCTCAGCCTCCCAAGTAACTGGGATTACAGATGCCTACCACCACACCTGGCTAAATTTTTTTGTATTTTTAGTAGAGACAGAGTTTCACTATGTTGTTCAAGCTGATCTCAAACTCCTGACCTCAGGTAATCCACCCACATCGGCCTCCCAAAGTGCTGGGATTACAGGCATGAGCCACTGCACCTGACCTCCCCTCTCTTTTTTTAACCTCCATTTTTCTCTCAATGTCTAGGGCTGCAATGGTTTGTTTCTACCCCCATCACTCATTCACTCAACATTACACCTTCCTTCTACCCTCCCTGGTCTGTTTCCCCCATGACCCAGGTCTTTTCCTCTCCCTGTCTTCTACCAGAACTTCCTACAGTGTGCACCATTTCCTTTGGGCTCTGTCATCACTCAGTGACAACCAGGTTATCTGATGGAATAATTCCTGCGAATGTTCCAAGAGAATATATGTGACTGCTGGGTTCCTTCTGGAGAAGATGGGATTTTTAAGTATGGATGACCAAGGACTGGGATTCTAAAGGGACTGGACAAGATTAGTCAAGGAACTGAAAGCCAACTGAAATGAATTTGAATGAAAGAAGGAGTTAGTTGGCTTATGTGACTGGGAAGGGTGGGGGTAGAGTGGCTGAAGGAACCCTGTCGGGACCTGCACTGACTCCCGTCACAGCTCTTGCCGGTGTGTTGTGCCAGTTCTTATGAGCTTTTCCACTTAGCTGGGGCCAGAGTTACACTTCCAGGACCACACATCCTTGTAGTTCCCATCAAGAAAAAAGACCTCTTTCCTGGAGTCTGGAAAGAAGGACTTTCATTGGTGCGGATTGAATCACATGCTCATCCCTGGACCAATTCCTGTGACCAGGAGATTTAGCCTGAGTCCTCATCTGGTATTGCTGCTGTAACAAATTATCACAGGCTTAGTGGCTTACAACAAAACACACGTATGACCTTATGGTTCTGAAGGTCAAACCCTATTAGGGTCTTCCTAGACTAAAATCCAGGTGTCAGAAGGCTGCATTCCTTTCTCCAGGAGAAACCTGTTTCCTTGTGTATTCAGTTAGCAGAATTCAGTTCCTTGTGCTTGTAGGACTGAGATCCTGGTTTCCCTACTTGTCTCCATCTGTGGACCATTCCCAGCTTCTCGAAGGGCTCACATTCCTTGGGTGATAGCCCTTTCTTCTAGCTTTAAAATCAGCCATGGTGAGTCAAGTCTTTCTCATGCTTCAAATCTTTCCTGCTTCTTTTTTTGTTATCGTGTTTCTTTGATCCTTCTGCTTTTCTCTTCCACTTTCAGGAGCCCATGTGATTACTTTGGACCCAACTAGATAATCCAGGAGTATCTCCAGCTGAAAGTCCACAACGCTAATTCCATCTACAAAGTCCCCATTGCCACGTAATGGCAATGTATACATAAATGGCATACTTATGTAAACGGCAATGAATATGTAAAACATACTCAAGGGTTCTGAGGATAGAACACAACCCTTGGGGCGGGAGCATTATGTGGACACCACACCCAGAGCTTGGTCGAATATCCACCCAGGGAAGCCAGGCCAGGGCTGGTATGACTGACAGCTCCAACAGAACCATGTGAAAGGGAAGGAAGGGAAACTCCCTAGTGAAGAATAGGATGCTATTAGCAGGAAAAAGAAGAGAAAAGATGTCCCCTTCAAGGCAGATTGGTCCTTACTACACATTTAAGTCACTGCTCAAAGATATTAGTGGGCTCTTTAGATAGGAAGTTTAATATCCCAATAACAACTACCTAAACATTTTTTAAATTAATAAATGAAAAAAATGAGAGGGAGGCAGGCCAGAGGCAAAAATTAATCTATCAAATAATACGCACTTCCAAGGGCTAGAGCTTTGCTGGATATACCCATTTCCAAGGCCTAGAGCTTGGCTGAGCTTAACCAAGAAACACAGAAGAAACAGAAACTATTTGTAGGTGT